TCAAATAAAAGTTTGCATGACACCGGTTTAAAATAGAAAACATACGCCCATGGATGGCCAGGTCACACTGCCAATTATTTATTAGATATTTTGCTATGGGCAGACCTGGATATATATCCCATAAACTGTGACCGATCTTTGAAAAAAGAGAAACGAAAACCGGACTGCCTCCTGATTTTGCTTCTTGTTTTCCGAATTAACGTTTATGGTAATTATACCTTTTTTTCCTCTCGCTTAAATGAAATTTGACTGTTTTTGTAGCAATAATAGAATTTAGTATTCCAAGAAAAATCTTTTAAAAAATTAGTGCTTTGGCTTCATTCGCGTTAATTGGTCGTGAATTCAGTTTTGACATTATTGCTTTCAAAGTCGTTCCCATTTTCTTAATCTTCATCATCCTCTTAAATTATTTCCATTGACCCTCCCCAGTGAAAGAGTACCGTATATTTTAGGAGTGACTCATCTTATAAAAATCATACCAGGGTAAAAAAGTGACCAAAATGCTAGGATACCTTACCATCCTATTCCACAATTAGTTATGCACCCGGCTTGACCAGTCATGTGACTGTTAACAGCAAGTCAGTGAAAATCAGTCTGAATAGAGAACAGTTTTGTGGTAGACACCGTGAGGAGAAGATGCTTTCCTGACAAGTAGTCAAAATACATTTTATTGAAACGGGATCTCCTGGAATTGTGAGTAAAGACAAATTTTGTTATATACGCTAGCTTTCTTTTTCAGAGTAGGAGAGAAGGTATGTTACTTATTTCTACATTGTGTTAGCGTATTTTAATTCTATAAAATAAAATGTTCATTTACGTTCCTTCCACTTCTTCCTAGCCGAATGTTTTTTTGTTTTGTTTTTTTTTTACTTATAAAAGTTTGTGTAAATATGCCACGCCAACATTCACCTATATTTGGTATACCTAACAAAAATATTCTGCCTGGCCGATTCCATATCGTCCGGCATTAAAATAAAGAACTGGATAAAAAAAAATCCTGAATCATTATGAAGAATAATATCATGCAATATATTTTTTCTTATTCGGAAGATTTAATTAAATTTATTAAATTGAAGAAAATGTCATCTACGGATCAAATATATTTAGCATTTTAAATAATGCTCTTAGAATTTGCCCTAAAGTCGAACAAAAAGCATAGAAAATTAAAGATAAATGATAACAGACAATAAGATTGACGGCAGCAATTAGCTTTTTTTATATAAAAATATCTATCAATAGTCGCTTGTGGCCATGCTTTGCAGTGGCAACCAACTTAGTGTTGGTGACAAGACCATGGTGGGATTTAGAGACTGAGATGTGCATTTTAATTAAATAAAAAAAGGAAAAACGATGTGCATATTCATAAAATAATCTCCTCTTTATATGAATTCTTGAAAAGTATAAAAAATTTAATCGATAAAAAATTAAATTAGGCGATGTCTTTTTTGAATACGAAAAAAATTTCCTTTGAATACAAAAAATGTGTAAAAGATGAAAAAAATAGAAAAAATTAAATTAATAAACAATAAATATCTTAAATCACTAATTATATATTTTGTGCATTAAACGTGTGGGTGTATCTATCTTATATACACACAAAAATGCACGCACATGTACACACGTAAAGGCATACATATATGTATACGCACTCTCATACACACAGTCATACACACATACACATATGGATATACTCAGGCGCACATATGTATATGTAAATACACACATACAAACACATACACAATTATGGAAATACATACAACATATACCTGGTATTTCTTCATTATTATTATTATTATTATTATTATTATTATTATTATTATTATTATTATTATTCTATCATTCATCGAGTATTCATACCAGCAGTAAATGGTTAATTACACTGCTGAGCAAGAGGAAGAAAGTCTCCTCAATACTTCAGCACTCTCCCCAGTATTCTAATTAGTTTCAGTACGGCTGACGTCTAGGTGGATTCGGTTCTTCCTTGAATTTAAAATTCTCTTAATCTTTTTGAAAGTTTCTTTAGGGCCTGACCATGAGGGCTGATCATGTTAGGTGATTGCAAATCTCCTAAATCCCCCAGCACTCTCCGCAGTATTCAAATTAATTTTAATAATGCACTTGCCTGTTGGGTTTCGGTTCTCACCTGGATTTTTTTAAATTCTCTTAATCTTTTTTAAAGGTATGTAGGGCCTGACCATGTGTGCTGATATTGTCTCCGCAATACTCCAGCACTCTCCCCAGTATTTTAATTAGTTTCAGTAATGCTGACATCTGGGTTGTTTTGGTTTTTCCTTGGATTTAAATTTCTCTTCATTTTTTTCAAGTTTCTTTAGGGCCTGAATATGAGTGCTGATAATGTTAGGCGAGTGCAAGTCTCCTAAATTCTCCAGCACTTTCCGCAGTATTCAAATTAATTTTGGTAATGCTGTTGCCTAATTGGTTTCTGTTCTTCCTTGGATTTAAAATTCTCTTAATCTTTTTGAAAGGTACTTTAGGGCCTGACCACGTGTGCTGATATTAGGTGAGTGCACAATACCCCAGCACTCTCCCCAGTATTCTAATTAGTTTCAGTAATGCTATTGCCTGTTAGGTTTCGGTTATCCCTTAGGTTTAAAATTCTCTTAATCTTACTGAAAGTTTCTTTAGGGCCTGACCATGAGTGCTGATAATGTTAGGCGAGTGCAAGTTCCCCGAATATCCCAGCACTCTCTTCAGTTTTTAACCTATTTTAATAATTCTGCTGTCTTAATGTTTTCGATTCTTTCTTAAATTTCCAATTTTTCTATTCACTTAACAAGATTCTCTGGGACTGGACTAAATGTTCTAAAACAAGTCTGCTGAAAACTCCATCACCCTTCGCAGTTTTCTTTTAACTCGTTTTAGAATTATTGCCTTCAGTACTTCCAAGGATTTCTAATTCTTCTCTTTTTATAAATTTAATCGCGACATGATTCAAACATGCAAATAACGATATCAGTATTTTTGCTGATTTTAAAAGTGCTGTTATTTGGGTGAATTCGATTCCTTCAGGAAATTTCAATCCTTCCGATTTCTTGGCAAGTTCCTTTCCAATCCAGTCTATATATATATATATAAGTGCGCAGGTATGCAGAAAATAGAAAAGAACACGTTGGGTGCATAATCCGGAGTTCCTTAGTATTTTTGTTTTTATTTTTAAGAAGACAGTGCTCCATACAGAAGTAGAGCTTATATTATAATGATATTTTTTTGTTTAAAAATATGATTCCTTCGCTACATAAGAGTTCTCATATTTCAAAAACGAGAGCTGAAACCAAGTTGAATTGAGGTGTTTAGTCCCGTTTCATCTTCAAGCGAAATTTTAGGAATGACTAAATTAAACTTAATTTTAATAATTATTTGGATGGTTTCGGCTCTCGTTTTTGAAACATGAGAACTGTTATGTAGCGAAGGAATCTTATTTTTAAACAAAAAAAATATATATATATATATATATATATATATATATATATATATATATATATATATATATATATATATATAGGGCAAGTAGGATAAAATATTTACTTTATTGTTTTTTATACTTTTTTCTGCAGAGAGAAAATAATATACACTCTTCTGTAAGTCAGTCGACATCAGAATCTAAAAGAGCTTATTTTCGATTTTTATTGGCTCTGATCTTTCTAAACCGTATCACCTACAAGTCACAAGATTATAACAATTACAGATTTAAAGACAAGACAAATTATGATAAATTATATTTCAATCACCTCATTCTCAAAATCTTTCAATGTCATCATATTTTTTGTTTCTTTCATGCCAAGCCTTTCAGCGTTTTTATGAACCATATCTGAGAATCATATGAACCATATCTAAGATTTAAAATGCTATATATTGATAATGATCGTGTCTTCTGGTCTGGATCTTTTAATGTCAACTGCCTTCAGGCGATCATGGCTTCCTACTGATTGCCATGCATTCTTGGAAAAAATGGTAGAGTTTTTTTTCCTATCGCTATATCATGGTTTTAGATTCAGAGTAATCCTTCACCTAGAATGCATGCCACCTCACTGCAACAGAGATCGGCAAGCTTACTGTTTAACCCATAGTTTGTAGGGAAACATGGATTCATTCCTTTCTCAAGTAAATTAATGCGCAAGTGAGCAGAAAAATTTGATCTGAACCCAGATCGACGATACCTGTTAAGTTACCCGCAAATCTTAATAGCTTTATTACAAATCATAATAACACTGAGTTTGATTGTCATTGGTTTGTGGCCTTATGTCAAACGCACTTAACATTAGCAAAAAATAAATAACCAGAAGAAATGACAAAGTGAACAGCAGAACAAAATCTTGTAAAAGTAACTGTGTATATTTTTCAAACATACCGGAAATTCTTTTCTAATTGCTATACAATATAGTTTTTCTCTCTCTTTCCATTTGAATCATAATTTATCTTTTCTTGCTATTCGAAAATCTTCCCGTTCACATGGTTCAAGGGCTTAAAGCAATTAAAATTTGATTGACCCTACGTTTGTTTGTTTTATTTTGTTTCTCTTTGGGCTCAACTCAGCCGAATATTGACAAGTAAAATTTCTGAGCGATCATTTCCAAACACAGGCTGACCAGACTTTGGCTCGAATAATTTTACACAAGCTGCAAAATCGTATAATATAAACATGAAAAACAAAAGGCAAAAAAAAAAAAGAAAATGGCTACCTTCATTTTATACATTGTCTGGTAATTGGATATTAGTTGAGATAAAACCTTGCATTAACCGCCTCTTTTTAAATGGCTGTATTTTTCTTTCTGCTTATTGATCTTAAATAAAATACAGCTAAAAAGAAAAGAAATAATAGAAAACAAAATAACCGGGTCAGATTTTTACCTTGTCCCTTCTTATGCATTCGTGTCCGTTTCTTGAAATCATTTCGGGTTTTGTATAAGTTTTATTTCCTCTCATTTGGTTGTCTCTCCGTCATTGATTCGTTTTACATCCCATTAATCCTGAAGTAGAATTTAGTTTAAAGAAAGGAAGAAAAAAAGAAAGAAAGAAGTTGAGTAAGAAAAAAGAGAGGAGATAAATGAACTAGAAAGAAAGGGAGAAAGAAAGATAGTTGAATAAGTACAAAGAAAATAAAGAAAAACATACAAAGAATGAAAGGAAGAAAATGAAAGAAAGAGGAAACAAAAGACTGAAACATGGACAAAGAGAGAGAATGTGTTAAATAAGAAGAAAGAAAAGGAAGAAAGTAAGGAAAACAGCAGGAAAGATAGAACGAGTAAAGAGAACGAAAAGCATAAAGTGAACGAGAGAAAAGTTAATGAAAAGAAGCAGAGAGCGAGAAAATTAGAGAGAGAGAATAAATTAGAATGAGAAAAGAAAAGATAAAGCAGAGAGCGAGAAAATTAGAGGGAAAATCAAGCAAAAGGCGAGAGAATTAGAGAGAGAAGGAGAAAGAATATTAGAATGAGAAAATAAAGCAGACGGCGAGATAATTAGAGAGAGAGAGAGAGAGAGAGAGAATAAATTAGAGAGAAAATAAAGAAAAGAGTGAAAGAATTAGAGAGAGAGAATTAGAATGAGAAAATAAAGCAAAACAGTGAGAGAATTAGAGACAGAGAGAGAATAAATTAGAGAGAAAATGAAGCAAAGAGTGAGAGAATTAGAGAGAGAGAGAATAAATTAGAGAGAGAAAATAAAACAAAGAGGGTGGGAGAGAGAGAGAGAGGGAAATATAAAATTAGAATGAGAAAATAAAGCAAACAGCGATAGAATTAGAGAGAGAATAAATTACACTGAGAAAATAAAACAAAGGGCGAGAGAATTAGAGAGAGGAGAGAGAGAGAGAGCATAAAAATGAAAAATTAGAGAGAGAGAAAATAAAGCAGAGAGCAACAGAATTAGCAAGAGAAAGAGAAAAAAGAGAGGGAAATCCAGAAGAGGATGAAGATGCGTGAACCAAAGAAGAGAACTAATTCAGAGAAAAGAACCATGTAAAATAAGTTGAGAGAAGCACGAGTAGAAGAAGAAATCTAAACAAATCATAGAAAGAGAGAGAAATAAATGTGTTTAAAAGAAATAGAAAGCAAACCAAAACAGGGAAAGAGTAAGAAAGACGACAAAGGGAAAGAAAAGAGCGCAAAGCGAAGAAGAAAAAGAAGGTGAATAATGAAATATGATACAACAGATGAAGAGAGAAAGAAAGAAGGAAAAGAACAAGCGACGAAAGGTGAAAAGAAATAACAAAATGGAATGTTTAAAAGACTTTCAGCATTAGAGTCAATTGGCTTCAAAGTCCCTCACGTTTTCGGAGGCAAGCGTAAAGCAGCTGTTCTCCAACAGACAAACTTATGCAAATAAGAAAGATCAATTGCTATTACTTGTGCCACTCAAGATAAAAAAGCGAAAAGACGTGGGAAAGATGTCTTCCTTTTTGTCATTGTTGCATACAAATTTTGAATCCGCTGGGACATTGAGTTCTTTAATTTCTTGTCAATATGTTTGCGTTTTCTACCTATGAACGAGCATCTAGACTTTTTAGTAGTTTTCTACGTATATTCTTCACAGCGGCTTGTCCATTTATCTAATTTTGCACCTATATCTCTCCATGTCCCTACCTTTGGGAACAGGAGCAGGTATACTTACCTCTAAATGACTTGATGATGTGTAAAAAGCTACGAACGCATATGCGTACATATTTTAAACTTACTGTTTTACTTTTATTGCTCAAATATCTGTCGAGTTTGTTATTGAGATAAGGAAATTGAACACAGAATTGGCTACGCTAGAGGTAGTTTTTCCCAACACTTCCAGTTGTTTCAAAACCAAAACATTAACCGAAAGACTAGAGTCATATTCTTAAATTGTACCAAACTTGTTTAGAAGTATTTAAACAGTCAACTGTATACAACCACATTATGAGATCATTGATTAAAATATGGCTTCCAGCAAATGAAGTCCGAAGGTTTAGCGAAGACCATTCTTCTTTGAATCTCATTGACTAGTGCTACAGACTCACAAACGAAGAATTATATCAAATAACAAAAACTACACCGCTCGATAGCTGTCAATAACAGCATCAATGTATAGAACATGTAACTTGGAGAGAAAATAATCACATAATCAGGATGTTGATGTTCCACCCTATTTCGAAAAAAGACTGCATTACAAGATCCTCAGAAACATACAGCTGATTAAAAAACGTAATTACTTTTGATACACTGTAATATCAATAGCCTTTTGCCTGTCAAGATCTTGTAGAATTTCAACATGCAAAGAAACTGTGTATTTGAGGTCATCACTGTTGACAAAGAAACAAGAAAATAAAAAATAAAATCAAGGTCAAAGAAAGATTACGAAACACTTCGATCTCCAGATCGAAGCTACAAGAATATGGGAAAAGGAAGCCACTGTGGTTCTAGTTATTGTTGGGGGGGGGGTCTATACCATCAAAAGTTCTACACTGAGAATGCCAAAATAAAGCCTAGTATACCATCGCTTCAAAAGTTTGCATTG